CAATGCAACAGTGTTACGGAAATATTAAGACGGAGCTGTTGCTGAGGCTAGTGTTAATGTCGACCGAGCCGTAGATATTGGGTCAAAGGATTTAGAAGAAATGACAAGGAAAAGAATGTTCAAGAATATAACCGTTCAAAAGAAACCGACAGGCCATTACAGCTTGGTATACAAAAACAGTATAAAAGTTGGTGGAGAAGAATATACATGTTGAACCCAACAAATTAATTATGTCCAGCGGTTATTGACAGCTTGGCTGATGATGATCAGTGACACGCAGATTGAAGAAGTATTTTCCTAATGAGCTTTGTGGTCATCCTTCTTCCACTATTGACTCATTACCGGTCTATTGCGAGAGAGGCCAAAAAGCCAGCGTTGGCTAACTGCAATTTGGGAACTCGGACAATGCCGGAGCAACACAAGTGCCAAATGAACGATGTATGTTACGTCCTGGACGGAGGGTCGTTAGTACAGAGGTTACTTTGGAGATAAGTCTGACTTTCATGATATTTGTAATCAATATGCAAACAATGGGCAGCTACATTATGGCTGTGCTTAATTGTATTTGATGGGCTAAGCGTAAACTTTGATGGCACAAGTCAACTTTGACAAGAAACACTTTCAAAACCAAAAAAGAAGTATTCCTCTCTAATTATGAAAACAAACAGAATTTCATCAATTTATTAGGGACGTATCTAACAGACAGGAAATGTCATGTATGCAAATGCCTCAGAGGATGCAGATCTTCAAATCGTTCAGACTGCAATTATGAAAGCAAATGACAAAACGACAGTAGTTATAGGTGAAGATACAGATATATTGGTTCTGCTATGCTATCATGCTAATACTTCCAAAGAAAACATATTTTACAGATCCGACACGAAGACCAACATTAAGAAGAAGAAGATTTGGGACATCAAGAAAACAAAAGCAGTCCTTGGTAGTGATACGTGCAAACGTTTACTCTTTATTCATGCTTTTTCTGGGTGCGATACCACTTTCGAGGTTGTACGGCATTGGAAAAAGTGTGGTGTTTGAAAAAAGCAATCACTAATGCTCATTTCCAAAGGCAAGCAGATATATTTCATGCTAATTCTACCCATGATGAAATAGAAGCAGCTGGAGAACAAGCATTGATATGTATATATAACGGAATATTTGGTGAAGGATTAGATACCCTCAGGTATAAAAAATTTATTCATAAAGCAAACACTGGAAACACTGTGGTTCAAGTTCAAACATTGCCACCTACAAAAGCAGCCGCAAAGTTCCATAGTTTTCGAGTTTACTTGCAAGTTCAGAATTGGATCGGAAGAGACCTAAGTGTTTTTGTTTTGGGGATGGGCTAAGAATAGCTTGGATTCAAGACTGATTCCTATCCAAACATTAATGCCTGTTGCTCCAGAAAGACTTCTAAAAGTTATAAGATGTTCATGCAGGGTCAACTGTGATACTAAAAGGTGCACATGCAGAAAACATGGACTGTCATGCTCTATGTGTTGTTCAGAATGCCAGGGTACTGGCTGTAGTAATTCGCATACTATTGACTACGAAAGTCAGACTACGGAAGAGACTTAGATGAATTCTGAGTAATCTGAGTGAATAAATCAGGCATTTCCGATTAGGAATACTAGACAAGTATAAACAACAGTTGTATATTTTGCTTTTTTTTCAGTCACATTTTATGCATTTCCAGTCACATTTTATGCACTGTACAATTTTGACTATATTAGGGAAAGAAGAGTTGGTAATCATCGTAATGTATCACTTCTATAATGTAATGATTTTTGTTATGAATATTTGTACATTTAAAAGTTATAAATGTGTGTTGTAATGAATGTTTGTACATTTAAAAGTTATTAATGTGCACTATTTAAAATGTTATTAAAAAGGAATAGTGATATATCGGCATTTGAGTACGTAAATGCATTTTGTAAAAAAATAGCAACAAAACAGACCTGTTGTTTCACACATGTATAATATATTGAAATTATTAACTATAGAATCATTGAAGAATGTTTCAGACATCTTGGTGAATTATACTGCTTATTTATAGATTATTTCATGGTACCTTACAAAAATTCTTAAAAAAATAGTTTTATCATTAGTGGGTGGGGTATTACTTTATACTAGTCTGAATGACAAATATATGATTTATTCATTGTTGCAACTTTTGTAATATTATTAACTTTATTTTAAATGTTTTATTTTAAATAAAAGCATGTACGTGTACAAATGTGTTACTTTATTTAACTATAAATGACCACAATATCCATAAAACTACTAAGTCTTATTTCATAGATTTCACAAATTGAAAAATTATATGGTTTAAAAACATGGCATTTTGAGCAACTTATACTTCAAATTTTTTTGAGGACTTTTTTTCTGTAGTAACACATATATTGTAGATTACAAATATGAAATTATCTTTTATGAAGGAATTTGTTTTAGGTTGAGTCTATTTTTTGGCTAAAATGCCTGGCCTAAAGGCAGAGCCTCGGTTCATCTAGGCAGAGCCCAGGATGAACCAGACAGACCCCCGATAAATTGAAAACGCCCGAAAATGATAACATTGATACTTATTTTTTATTTAATATAATAATTCCAGAACAGTAATTCATGATGATTTTCTGAAAAATCCTTAATCAAGACTGGATAGAAGGGAAATGGGAAGGGTTTTAATACAAACTAGTACAATTATCTTAAATTGTTGTGATTCTTTTGAAATAAATTGGGCTTTGCCGGGTCTCTACTGGGATCAACATTAGCTCCATCTTCATCCTCTGGGGCACTGCCTGCATCCTCCAGGGCTCTGCTGGCATTCACTTGGGTTCTGCCAGCATTCACCGGGGCTCTACTGTAGCTCTAATTCTTATATCATACCTCGGTTTATGCCGTCAGTCTCAGCTACGGTACTTCCCCGGTGTAACCTCTGTCGTTCCCGGCAGAGGTAAGGATGAAGCCAGCAAAGCTTTCCTTCCAGGATCATCCTGGACCACCCCAGGGTCGAATGCCGGATGTTCCCGAATCATTTCGGTCATTGCCAGCAGAGTTACGGATGTACCATGGTTGTTCCCAGTAGAGCCCTGGTTGTACCCGGATCACTCCGGATGTCTAACGGTGCTCTGCTGGGATGTCAGTGAGACTGTAGCTTTAAGTCAAGACATATTATGAGGACCTTGTATTCACAGTTGATATGTTGTCTCTGTCATATTTCCAAACAAAATTTTTTCAAATGTTACAGCTTAAACTCTAAACCTGCTAATGGTGCCTCACATTCTAGCACGCATCCAGTAAAGATCAAGGCCAGCGTAATTATCCTTTAAATATTTCAAAATCTTAAAGATTTTGAATGATTTTACTAAAATTGAAGTACATAATTTTATAATATCAATTGGGGTAAGGATTAAATGCCAGTAGCAGCTGAAACCTTACTTTTAATTTTGAAATGCATGTACATGTCATTTGTGTCTAAGATAGAATAGCATTTATAATTAACCATCAAAAATAATTTTAGCTTATCCCTACATTTAAATATATTTTTAAATAAAGTGGTATAGGCTATATTATTCTCTATTGAGGACATTCATTCTCTTCAAACTTTCCACTGATTATTCTTACTTTCATTATTTTCATCATTCAAAACATAACTTGCACTTATTTTATAATCTTATTTTATAATGGCTACATATATTTTATGTGATTTAGAAGTAATGTTTTATTTTATCCAATTATTAAATCCTATAAAAAAAGATATAAGTTTGAGATACTTCTATTTTGCACAAAGAAAATAATTAAATTTGCTCAAAATTTGTGCGGAAAACAGTTGTAACTTGAGATACTACCCTTTTGCACAAAAAAATATGTAACAAATTATCAAAATTTTATTTGTAAAACGGTTGTAACTTGAACTTATTCAAATATCTTTTTTTAAAAATAATTTGCTTCTTTTTTATTATTTTGTTTCTAATTCCTTAACTAAAATGTATATATTTTCCTAAAATTCAGTAACAAAAGTTTTAAAAAGTTTTTTCATGCTCCTGTAAAATTTGCTAAAATTGAGTTACAACCGTTTTGCGCTAAGCCCGCGATATGTGAAAAAAACTTGACCTGCTAGACCTTAGATGTTAAGCATGAAATATCTTCTAATGGGTGTCTACCAAGTTTGTTCAAATAAAAGCCCTGGGGTTTAAACTGGCCCCGCTCCGGGGGCCTATATACAGGTGAGTGACTTCAGGGCCATCATGGCCCTCTTGTCTAAGCTATTGTCATGTTGAACATACATGCTATGATATTGATGTATGCTACCAAAATCAACAATTGATTGGCCATATCTGTACATGTCTCTTCATACTTGAAGCATAACAAATCCAAGAAAAGTAACTCTGAAATATTGACTGTTAAATTGGTACACATTAGCCACCCTTGTCAGGTCAGTTTGTCTCTATGGCAATACATTATAGCTTATTAGCTACTGGAAATTATTATGCATCCAATAGGACGCAGTAATGCAATTTGTTTGCATTATAAACAGCTTTTTACGAATATTTGACACAGAAAAGTGCATTATGTAAAAGCCCTTACTGGCTGTATAATGGTTGCACAAACAACTAAAAATCAATAAAAGTATTTGCAGGGCTAGTGGAATTTACTATATAAAGATTTTCTTTTCCCTACTAAGATGTATTTTAAGAATATCGGTAATTGTTCATTGAAACAGTTAATTTTGCTGCAATGTGTTCATTGAAACAGTTAATTTTGCTGCAATGTGTTCATTGAAACAGTTAATTTTGCTGCAATGTGTTCATTGAAACAGTTAATTTTGCTGCAATTTGTTCATTGAAACAGTTAATTTTGCTGCAATTTGTTCATTGAAACAGTTAATTTTACTTTTATTTTAATCCAAAATCCAGATTTGGCCCATTTCATTTGTCACATGTATGTTAATGATATTTGATATCTAGGTAGTGAACCGTAAATAATGTTATTTTTCATTTCAGGTAACATTAACAGTGAGTTGCTGCAAGCACAGTCGTATGAATCCGAACATACTGGTATACAAGAGAGTGGAAACTTATATACTAGATCATACACTGGCTTAACTATGTTTGTCCCGACAGAAAATTACAGAACCCTGCAAGGTTCCCCTGATATAAATTCTGCCGATGTAAATGAACTGATTGGGACTGATGAACAAGATCATCAAATTTTTGATGCAATAGGTTAGCTAAAAAATACAAGAATCTATCTGTTGCTCTGTTTAATATGAAATGTAGAAAATTCTTTGTAGATATATCAAGTAATGAACTCGCAGAATGTAAGGGTCCGTTGTCGAAAAAATTCTTGAGACTATAAGTTCCAGACCATCATCAAAATGAAGTCATTTAAATTCTACAGGTGGTAAATAAAACATTTCTTCCGTACATTATGTATTGATATATCACAATGAACCATTCCAGATGATGAATTATCACTTACATGCACTCAAGTAAGGGAGCATGTATATACCTAGCTCATCGGGATGTTAATTTTTCTTTACTGTCAAATTTTGTTTCAAATAAATGATTCAAACAAGCTCCATGTTATATCCTGTTGGATAAAATGCATTATTACACAATAAATGCACTGAATGAGGAAAGGAATGTTTCCACCTTATATGACAACATGTCTTTGAGATTATATATATATATATGAACTTGAACAGTGCATTATATATACTTTGACATTTCACAAAAAATTGAGATCTATGTTCTAAGTAATGCTATTTTCCCAAATATGGTATTCATATACTTTATATACCTATTATGCCTAAAAGTTTATCCTCATAAGTTCTCATGAAGCTTTAAAATGTTGTAAAGCAGGTTTTTTGGATATCATCTATTTTAGCTACCTATCTTATAATATATATTGAATAAAAAAAATATGAGGAAATTGTTTTATTTTCAGACAATGAATTGGACTTCTACCGTGGTTCACAGGCAGTGAGAATGGTTCTTTCTGAGGGTTACTCTCAGAGAGAAGTGGACATTGCAGTAGAAGACATAATTTCAGAGGATGGTATAATAACGGTGAATGCCCTGATGTATAAATTACAATACTTGGGATTTACCCCAAAGAATTGAATATAAGACTGCATGGATTATTCATGTATAATATGCTTTAATGTATACTTAGTAATTTCATTTGTTAAAGATTATAATAATATAGCATGTAAAAGGTATTGGTGTACACTATAATGCATACATTTCACTCATATAAAACTTCAACCTTAGAAAGGTAAAAGAAATTGTATAGAAGTAAATTTAAAGATTTAACCTATTTCTAATAGCAAGATTTCATTCTTGCATAGTCCATCATGGGCCATTATTAATTGGCAACTTTTTACACAATATCTTCCAAACCATATTGTAGATTTTGACCAAACTTGATAGGAATGATCCTTAGCTGGACTTTAAGGGATTCAAGTAGGTCACAGGAGCAAAGAATGAATATATTTAGAAATCTTTTCTTTAGAAACATCATTGCACAGAACATAGATACTTAGCATGTGTCATCACCTTAAAGCGACCTTCAGCTTTTCTAAAGGTCAGATATGTTATTTTTAGATAAATCATTGTCAAATCAAAAGAATTAAGGTTGAAAATGAAATTTGCCATCAATAGAATACATAGATAGTAAGGAAGCCCCTCGATACCTCTAATCTAACGGTCTGCTCTCTATATTTAAATTAGTAAGGCCGACAATTTGTTTCCCGATCTTCTATTTTTAGAAATGAAAGTCACTCACAAGTTATTAAAAGCTCTAGGAATGCTTTGTTGAAGAAGACTTAACAGTGATATGATGTACTTTTCAAGATAAAATTACTAAAATACTTAGTTTGAAACTACGCAGAATTTGGTTTTTCCAACTAAAAATAAAGTCTAAAGGCCGCTTTAAGGTCCCATTGAAAAGTCATTTAATACACTTGTCATTATAGATAGTAGCAAATTTAACCATGATTTCAACTAATTAGGAGTACATCACACAACCAATTTGTGGCATGTGCAAAAACAGTGAAACGTGACATCATATTTTTCATCATCTAAAAGTGAAAACGGAGCTGATGTCTTGATTTTGTGAGTAACATTTAAAAACACAAAGTTTTACGGAAATGCATAAGAAAATGCAACAGTTTTATTCATGCAAGTTTATACTACATTAAAAGGAAGTACCTCTGTGTCCACATGTGAGAGGGGCCCTAAAGAAACAGGAGTTTTAATGACAGAAATATCAAAATTTTGAAAAATGAAAAACCTACAACATTAATCAACAAGTCACTTAGTGTATGAAAGACATTAATACATGTCAGATATAGGTTGAGAAATAAAACTAGGCCCACTTAATAAATAATGGCCTAAGGTTTTAGCCCTATATTGCAGTATATTAACCTCGTAATAAACAGTGGACCAAAATTGATAAAGGGAACAGATTTCAAAAACTACAATTTTCAGAGTTTAAATGTTGGTCATGTAGCATCATCTAGTGGTTCTCTACAAAAGTTATATAAATCATGGTTTTAGCGTCAAAATTTGCCTGTCCTTGGTGTCACTTAGTTTACATAGACTTAAACTGGAAAACAAATTAAAATATCTTGTGTAGAACCATTTACTTATCTGACATGTGCTATTGCCTAGTGGACTTCTACAAACATAGACCTACATAGATAAATGCTTTAAAATCTGCTTCTCTAAAACTTTAATTATATCCTAGGGATTATATATCTGATATGGAGCATTGCCAAGCACACCTCTGTAAGTATAATTCTCATTTAAATCTAGTGCTTGTGTGAAAAATTCTGTGAATGCAGTGCCCAAAGCATAGATATTTAGCATGTAGTTTTCACCATGTATATCCAATAACGCCGGAATGTGAAAATAACACACGATTCGTGCAATAAGTAACACAGAATTGTGCAATAAATGGTGGATACCTGACAGTATTTCCAATGCGGTAAGAAAACTGGTCAAATATAGTTATCCCTCATCAAGATTATTTCACAAAATTGTTTACTTTTCAAGATCATTCGTGAAAATGATGGCTTGACCTCCGTTTTGAGCAAGATTTTGGCTTTTTGTCGGCTCTTATAAGTACAACAATGCATATTATACGGTATAATTGTGATTTTGGGTAGGCAAGTGACATAAACCTAACTTCTTGTGATATAGAAAATTGAAAATAAACTGACGAAATGTGATTCAAACCGTTTTTATGATTAACGCAGATGTACTTGAATTGTGCTTCGCGATAACACCGGAAAATGTGATTTTTCCTTATATGGTAAAAAATTATAACATCTTTTATTGGCGAAAATTATCAAGTTATTAATTTTGAGACCTATAGTCAATTTATTTTCTTCTTAACTTATAAAGAAATAATATGGTAATTAGATCTTGACAAACTTTCAACATTTTGATTGCATATTGTAACTTGGTACAATTTGACAATTGTTTCCTGAAATAAAATTATTATTTGTGAACACGCTGAGCATGTCTGATTTTGTTAGAAAATAAGAGAAATAAACTTAGTTTGCAAATAAATTGAATATAGAAATAATAGAAAACAATCAAGAAAGAAGTGTCTGTATATTTTATGCCTGGTATAATGCATCAGTATAGCTTTAAAGTCTCCAGATGTCCTTTATTGTGTTGGCGTGATGTGAAACCCAACCAAAACAAATATTTGGCTGTAGCAATTTGCCTGGTGAACTTCTGTGAAAAGGGATTATTTATTTAATTAATTTTTTCTCTAATATAAGAGTGTAACTTGTAATCAAAAGATATTTTACTAAGAACCTATAATGCCCAAAACTTGTAAAAGCATAACCTAATAATTGTCCTCTGCTAAAGTTAAATAAATTATAACCTTGGGATACTTTTAGGGTTTTTTATTATATGTTAACTTGTATGGGAAAAACATATGAATCTACCGTAAGAGTTTATGCTAGGCATTACTATAGACGTTTACAAAACTAACAGGACTAATGACCCTAAAAGAGGCCACCAGTACAGAGCCAGGTCACATCCATACGAGTGACCATTTGCTCACTCAGGTAGCTCATTTGTACAAATACATTAAATATCTAATAGCAATCTCTCAGACACTTTGAATTCACAACTGAAGAAAACCATTTCATAAATTTACCAGATAAAGGGTGACATAGAATAAAGATATATTTTGGTTACTTACTCAATGTACATGTATATGGAGAGCTACTTGAGATGTGTTTGTGGAAGATTTCATATCATCCATGCCTGATGAAGGTCTAAAAGTGGAATTCTTTATGTCTAATAATTAATAAAGAATGAGTACCATGAAAAATTCTATAATTTAACAAAGCCCATTTTCATAACTACGATCTCAATAGGTATTGAGAAATTGCTACCCCGTTGTTTCCTTGAGTAAGAAAATTTTCACGCATTGCTTCGTACTCACTTAAACAAAGACTTATATTAGAAAGCTTATAGCTCTGTGGTTTCAGGGATGGATTTGAGATTGTTTTTTTCTACACAATCTAAACTATAATAAATTCTGTATAAAATGAATTAAAGTTTCCCCACAAAAATATATTTGAAAAGTGCTGATACTCACCGATTAATGGTTTTAAACATGTGCAACAGTTCAGTACCATATATGAAAAAAATCAATTTTTCTGGCGTTACTGTAAAGCACTATTCAGGTACATCGGCGTTACCTCATAAAAACGACTTAAATCCTATTTCATCAGCTTACTTCAATTTTCTATATCACCAGAATTTTAGTAAATGTCGCAATTGCCTACCTAAAATCAAAATTATACCGCATAATATGCACTGTTGTACTTATAAGAGTCGACAAAAAGCCAAAATCTCGCTCAAATCAATAGTCAATTAAGTCATCATTTTCACAAATGATCTTGAAAAGTAAACAATGTCGTGGAAATAATCTTGATGAGGGATAAAGAGTAATGTATTTGCAGCCATATGCAGCTATTAATTTTTTTCAGTTCGGTTAAATTAAAAATATATTGGCCAATTTACTTACCGCGTTGGGAATCCTGTCAGGTATCCGCCATTTATTGCACATTTCTGCGTTACTTATCGCATGAAACGTGCGTTATTTTCACATTCCTGCGTTACTAGATATGCACGGTGGTTTTGCTAAGGAGACATCTAGGAAAGTTATAAAACATGTGACTGTGACAATAATGATCCTGCAATAGTTTACATAGACATAAAACTTTAAAATATTCCTCTAGGAAAGCTTAGATATTTAAAAGATTGTGATGCTTGTTTGGTTTAATTATTAGTCAGCTGCCTTTTAAACTAGAAAGGACTTTAGGTTTGCCTTCTGTCAGTCTGTCTGTTTGTCCACAAAAAACTGGATCCCATGGTAACTCAAAAAGTACTGAAAATATTTCTATGAAACTTGAAATAAAACATTGAATAGAAGGCAGTATGAAGATAAATTAATGCACATATTTTTTTCTTTCTTCCTTGAAAAATCTTGTTGCTATGACAACAAAAAGACTTTAAATATTTGGGAAAAAAACAGCAATAAAGTTGGAACCATCTATAACTTGGGTGGTTTATTTTTTTTGAAACATGAAAACATTATAAACATATCATATGAAGAACCAGTTTATCATAGGACACTTTAGGTTTGTGCTCTGAGATATTTTGTCAATGAACCTTGAAATACAAATAGATAGCAATATGGAGATGATGTCCATTAATCCGTGGTGACTACTACCATAGGGTGGGGGGGTCTTAATGTGTGCATTCTTTTAAAGTATTTCAAATTTTTCGGACAACTTTACATAAGATGGAACAATGTTGAAAAATGAGTTATGCAGAGTGATCCTGAGAAAATCTTTTGATAAAACATAATACCCTTATAAGGCAAGAAAACTGATTACATTATGATGAGACAGACAAACCCTGAAGATTTACCTTAAAACTTAAAAAGTTCATTTATGTCTTTTGACAATGGCATATTTGAATGGCTATGACCTTTCAGAATGTTGCTGACATATTTCTTGCAGCATTCTATTCAGTAAGGGACTTAAGTATTGCTTGCAATCCTTTGAATATTGCTTGTTTTCTTGGAATCATTAGTTTAATTTTCTTTATAACTAAGTATACAAGGACAGTTTAGAATCATTTGTCCTGGCTATATATCAGGAACCACTCATTTACCATCACTTTAAAAGAAGTGTCACTTCTAAAAGTATTCATGCATTTTAGCAGTGTGTTTTGTTTTTTCTCATTTATTGACTCATTTACAAACTGACTTAAAGATCATTGATTCTGGGCAGGACTTTTTTCTCAGGAACTTTTGGCAGGTTCTGGCCTAGACTTAATAAATCACTACCAAATTTGAATAAGCACAATTTTTAGCCTTACCCATAATTATCTTGAAAACATCCTACCATTTAACTTTTATTCATTTTTGCATTATATGTAGAAAAAAATAAGTGTATTTTGAAAATCAGCAAAATTATTCATTCAATTTGCCTGACATAAAAAATTTAGCTATTACTATAGTGATTGTGTTGTTCCCATTGCCAGTCCAGAAACTTTAATATTTGTCATATTAATTTTTTTCATTTATAAATTGATTGTCCTTATACATGGACACAACAACCCTTCAAGAAGACCAGGATGAACATGACCTTAACTTGTAAATGACCTTGACCTTTTAGGTAAATTTTTGAATTTTGCTATTTTTTTATGTTATTATTGGCTATAGCTTTTGTTATTTAAACTAAAGGATTGTCTTTGTACTTGGACACAACAATTTCTTCAACATTTACCAAAAATATCCATCAGTAAAAGTTTTGTAAATGCTCCAACACCAAACTTAGAAACACTTACATTTTTGGTAAAAAACAACACGTTTGCTTATGCTTCAATAATTAAACTTTACTGGTTTACTAAATTGGTATCGCTACTTATCTCATTACTATTTCTTAGCTCAATTAAGTCGTCATCTCATGACAGTGCTTTCAATCACAACAAATTTTAAATTTCCAGGGTGTGCTTAACTTATTTCCAGGTGTATATATAATTATATATAAACAAGCTTTCTGCTACTAAAAAATCATCATCTTTTTAAATATTTAAAGATATAATACTTTTACAGCTACATGTATTCCAATCCAAACAATAAGGGGATTTAGTCTTGGTATAATTCTGATATAATTACCATGATTCATAATGTGTCATACTCTTATTTTCAAACCTTTAAAGATTACTGTCTTTGTTAAAACAAATGATACACAGGAATGTTCAGGTTAGAAAATACGTGAAAGCAACATACATGTATAGTATAATTTTATATACATTCAGGGGCTTTCATTAACTTTTCGTGAATTTTGAATTTGTTGATTTTAATTTTGTTTTGTTAATAAAAGTGAAACATACATTACTATTGTTCAACAGACTAAAAATATTGTCTAAAAATGTAAATAAATAGTTAAAAATAAATAATGAAATTAAATTGTTTAGCTAGTCACAGTGTTTCAAAGACATTAAATGTAATTGTTTAGCTAGTCTGTTTCCTAGAAAAAGACAAATTCTTGATCTTCATTTTAGTCATCTGAGTTGTATCAAAATGAAAAATCAAAATGAGAGCAATGGAATTCCGAAAGACCTTGTCTGAAATGGCAACATTGAAAATGTTCCGTGCTCAGTTTGATTTAGCCTGATTATTGCTGGTAGTAACAAAAAAATATGACTATGAAAGTTTATATTAGTCAAAGGTGACAAATCTTTGTGTAGGGGTATTTAAGATAGGCCAGAAGCAGTTATAGCTTTTATGTAAAATATTTATTGAAGGTTTTCAGCACCTATATTTGCATTAAAAGTCTCATATTTTGGGGTTCAAACATAAAAAATGATTTCTAATTATCTTTTATAATATTGTATTATCAAAAGTCAGATGACAGTCTGTAAGTGATCTCAATCATTTCATACATAATATATATATTTTTCTAACCATTATTCAATTCTGTAGACATCTTCAAACATCTCAGGATAACCATATTTCATATATTTTTGACAGACTGAAACATTTTAAGCTTAGGTAATATAAAT